TCTAAAGGTTTATTTTGCATGTTCATTATTAATGGCTGATATATCTATATTTGAACAACTATAAAGAGGAAATAAGATGGGGATAGTTTTCTAAAGTAAAAAAAAAAATTCTTATGTTAATTTTATAAAGTAGGATTAAAATAAAATACCAATTGGAGAGACCAATTGGCAAACTTAAAAAAAGGGATCCTTGTGAATAGGTATAGAATAATTAAAATAATATATAAATACCGTAGGACCTGGCATGACACTATCGTAAAAAATGAATAAAAATCTCATTCCCCGTCATTTTTGATGGGCTTTCTTAATAATTTGTAATATTTAGTAAATAATGTATTACTTTCCTATGTATAAACATTGGTATAAACTCGAGACTTGATCAATGGACATGGGAATATCTTTTACAAATTATTAAGAGTTGAGCTGGGCTTGATAAACTTTTTTATAATTATATGCTTCCTAATATTGTACCTCTTATAGTAACATTAATTTTGAAGAAATTTTTCCAAGCCTAGAGATATAATATTAATAATTTGTAATATTTTGTAAATAATGTATTACTTTTTGGTTTAATATAGCCTCCTACAGTTGCATAGAAAATTTAAGTAATAGGATCATATGTTTGTATAAAATAAATATATAAAATCAACATTAGTAAATAATGTATTACTTTTTGGTTTTAATATGGCCTCCTAAAGTTGCATAGAAAATTTAAGTTATAGGATCATATGTTTGTATAAAATAAATAAATAAAATACAAATAAATAAATAAATACGAACCGTTGACAGTAGCGATGACATGACGTCACGATGACGTAGTGAGGACATGACGTCACGATGACGTAGTGAGGACATCGGAAAATTATAATATAGATATATTTGAACTTTGTAATTAAATCGTTCCTTGTGAATTTAATGGAATCGTTTCTAGTGGACTTAGTTGATTCGTCTCTTGTGGATTTAGCTGAATCATTTCTTGTGCATTTAGTTGAATCGTTTCTTGTAGTAGATTGCTATTTTATTATATTTTGTCCGACTAAATTTATTTGTTCATTTATTATAATGCATTTGAACTCGATTTGTTCACCCCTTGTTCTAACTCAGCTTATTTTCATACTACTGTTCGCGTTTCTACCACATTTTTAGATAAATTAGCTTAAAATTAATTTAAAACACAAAAAATAACTTGTTTCCTTCACTAACTGATTTGTTCGTACTAGTGGCATTTCTAATTTTTCAGTAAATTTGTACCAGTCTAGTAATGCGTTTAATCATAAATAGTTCAGCCGATTTTGGCCTCGTTGCTATTTTTTATACTTATACAGCACTTCATTAAACTCTTTACCATTCTATTAGGAATATATTTTTAATAGTAAGAATATATCACCATGAATTTGTTACTTATTGAATAAGATGTATAGTTTGTATATGATGCATATTAGTGTTTTTTATTTGTCAAGATCATGAATAAATTGCTACCAATTATCCAACGCTATCTGTCATAATGACTCTTATCTGGGGAACCACTCTGATAATTTATTCACTACATTCCAGATTGTTTTGTCTTTAATTTTCTTCAATCTACTTAAAATAGGTATCAAATACTAGCAAGCGCTTAGCCAGTGGGGGGAAGGGGGGGGGGGTCCATAACCCAAAAATATAAATAATAAAAATATTTTTTAAAATGCCCTCACTATTAAGTAATTACTTTATGAAGTTAGAAAAAAACCTATTATAAGTGTTCTCAGTGAAATAGAACAATGACTTGAAAAGTGCTTCTCCTCAGAAAAAGTCTTGTAGCTAGACTCGATAATAGAACCTAGTTATTTCTTGCATTAATGTATCAAAAAATTATTTAAAATATGTTACCATTTTATGCAAAATTTAGAAAAATATATAATTAATAACATCATGAAAATTGCATAAAGCATTGTATTAGAGCTAACACAATGGTCAATACGGAATTTCATAAACCATGTGATTGTTTACTTCAAAGTCAAAACAGATTGTTGTGAATTTGAACCATAAATATTACAGTGGCCTCTAGATTTCACCAAAAGATGGCAAACTTTTTGCTAAGTTTTCGTGAAATCTTGAATTTCTAGTTAATATTTGTTTAGCTAAAATCCTGATTTAACTTTTTCCCAAAATCACTTAAATCGAAGTTTTTAAAAAAAATAAATACAAAATACTGATAAAATTATTTTTAAAAAATATCTTAATCACAAAGGAGATAGTATATATTTCATTGTAAATATCTTGGAGGTTTATATACAATATTTCCTAAATATATTTTTGAGTATTAAATTACAAAATTTAAATTCTTAAATATTTATACACTCAAAATTGGGCCATTTTTTCTAATTAGTAATTTCTATCAATTTTATATATTCGAATGCTCAAAAATTATATTTTTTGTTCATTTTTGTGCCAGCACTTTATATTTTAGAGTGATTCCTAAAATAGAAATAGTTTTGTTTTAGCCGTTTCAGCCAGGAGCATCTGTAGCTTTTTTCAAAGGTGGGTGCTGAAAAGTTAAAATTTATTAATTTAAAAAAAAGTGTCTTAAAACTTACTTTTTCTATTTATATATTTTTTCATGGGGACGCGGGGAGGGGGTTCTTAGAGGAATGGGCGGGTTATAATTTTTTAAATATCAAGCGAGTGTGATAAGAGCAACAATAGAAATGCTAATAAATATTAACGTATATAATTTTTAAAATAATGTGCGAATGGAAAGGGGGGCAAATATATAATATATTTAGGGTTAAATGAACAGAACAAGTTTATATATAATAAAAATTGTTTTTTTTATTTCAAATTAGGGCATTTATAAATATGAGAAATAGGATATTAAATAAAATAAATAAAAATCCAAACCACTCAATCAGGTTTAAAAATTAAGCGGGCAAATTAAACAAATTTTGATGAGTAGGATCATCAAATATAACAATAAATAGATTATTTTACTTTTTCATATATTATCTTTTTATAGAAATTAAAATAGTAAAGTAATTCAGGGAACATAATATTTTATTAAATAAGTTATAATTTAGGAAAGCCTTTTAAATTAAATATTAATTTGTTAATTTAAAAAAATAAGATGCTTCATTTTCAAAATTGGTCTAATGGGGTGCTTTAGCACCCAATAGCCTAGCTAACGACACCCCAGATATAAGAAAGGTTTTATTAGGTATCAAGAATAAAAAAACTATATTTAGTGATTTTGGTTGATTCAACGGAAATCAGGTCATCTAAATTTATATTGAAACACTTGGGTCATTTTAGATGAGGTTTAAAAATGAATTTTTCCTCTGTACCATCACCAAGCAACTGAAGACATTCCACCTGATCTTTCGCAGTTTATTAGATTCTGATATGTTCAAATATAGGTGACTGCCAGCTGATCAAAGGATATGCAAGATATTGTTTTTGTATTTGGTATGTAGGGAATTTGTCAGGGCAAAGTTAAATATGCGAATATCTACATTTTGTGTCAAATATTTTTCGGAATTAAGCCATCCAATGTAATTTAAAATTATCTGCTAAAGGAGCAGATCAAGATTTCGGATAAGCTCTTGACAATTTTAAAGTCAGATAGTTCTCAAGATTATAAACTTTAAGATTATGATTAAAATACCTTAAAATTTAGTTATTTGGCTGAGTACTTTATGCTGATTATACCAATCTTTTTGCAACAAGGGATGGGGTTAGAGTTAGAACAGAATTGCCTTATATAAATTGGACTTAAATTCAGAGTTGTACAAAAGATCTTTTTTGAAGATTTTTGAGCGAGATCTAGCTCAAAAATTTGAGCAAGATCTTTGAAGATCGTAAAATTTGAAGATCTTTTATTTTTTAAAAATTTTGTATAACGATCTTCAAAGATCTAGATCTTTATTTTTTTTACCCCTTTATTAAAAGCCCAGATGTTTTTCAATTTTCATCAAGGCAGGAGGAGAGGTATAAAACATATAAGAAATATTATATTAATAAAATTGATGTGCTTTTAATAAAGGGGTAAAAAAATTATTATCTTGAAGATCTTTGAAGATCGTTACACAAAATTTTTAAAAAATCAAATTTTACTAGATCTTTGAAGATCTTTTTATTTTGAGCAAATGTACAACTCTGATTAAATTGATAATCGATAAATTTAAAAAATTATGCTAATATCAAATTTATGAGTTGAGAGCTAATAAAACTAATAATAAAGAGGATTGGATGTACGTAGTCAACACAAATTAGTTTGCAAGATAAGATTTACTTAAGATTGTAATTCAGATTAAGGTCATGATTAGCAAAGAGTTGACAGAGATTTCTTGAATCTGTAAAAAATTAGATATAGATTTAAAGCCCTAATTTTAAGAATAAAGAATGAATAAGGCTTGAAAAAGAATATGGTTCTTTAAATAATAAATTGTACTAAGGAAGTTAAAATATTAGGGATGACATTGTGAACCAAATAAAAACCCCCAATTAGGTCTGAGAAATAGCTACTCAGTTTTCTGTTCGTTAAGCGAAATATCAAATACCTAAGGTTTTTAAATTATTTTTGTTAATAAAGCCTTTTTTCTTTTGGCCTAATTTTTTTTGGGAGACCACGCAATTAATACCGTAATTAATTTGACGGGCGCATAAACAAAATATGCATTTTATAGTTTCTAATCACTTAATTTAAAGTCGAATGGTTTAGAAAACAATTGAAAAATTGTAAGAGTTACAAAAATGGATTTGTTTATTACTCTTCCACCCTTATCAGTTGAGATCCACACTCCTATGTGCTCTTCTCTGCCTAAGAAAATGGTTAAAGATAAATTGGGTTGAATTATTATTAATTATACATCCCCCTCCTTTACTGATAGCAATAGCTTATATATGACCTAAAAATATTAGATTTCCTTGAATAAATTCTTAAAAGATTTATCTTATCCCTCAATCTATTATTATACTTCATGAATATACTTTGTCTTTAAAAAACCATATGATAAATTCCTGACCTCCCTCTTTTGGCATTAAAAATATTTTTATTATTCAAATAAAGACCAATATTTGGATATGGATATGATTTCATAATAAATACTATGTGAACGAAGATGCATATAATTAGCACACTGAAGTTAATTTGAATAAAACATAATAATTTTTGATATATTTTAAAAACTATAGTAATGAAATATCACACATTGAAAAATATTGCTTATGAGAATCCGTTTGCAATTCCCGATGACACCCTACATAATGAAGTTCCGCCAATTGTTCACGTTACAGAGCCTACAAATAATAAATGTAAAATATTGAAAACAATATTTTTCAATAATAAACATTATCTAAATTTAGTTCGATGGCATCACATAGAAGATTTGGACACTTTTTTTGCACGTATATACAAATATCATCAAAAACATGGATTTATATGTATGATGGTTGAGGAAATATTGGAGGCTGTTCAATTTATGTTTATAATATGTTTGTCATTTTTTATGATACAATGCATCAACTATTCTATCATATTTAAGTTTCATGATTGGATATTAATTAGTCCTAATAAAACTAAAACAACATTTGTAACTCAGCTAACACATAAAGTGGAAGAACAAAATGTAAGATTATATCATTTTTAAAGTCATAACTTATATTTGTTTTATCCTTAGATAAATAATTAACAACTTAATTAAATTTAAAAATACGAATGCTATTTAAATTTATATAATAGTAAAAAATCTTATAAAATTTATAAACCTTATTTTATAGTTAAATTCTTTATCATTAATAATGTAGGATACATATCCAGATTCAATTATTCCTTTATCAATATGTGGAAGAAGATATTTATCTGCTAAACCTAGCAACCCCTTTTGGTTCATTTGCCTCCTCTTAGCTTGTTTGTTTCTTATAGTTAGATTGCTTAGAATAATCAGACATTTTTTTCAGTACCTTGAAATACGATCATTTTACATCAATGTTCTCAACATACAATCTGTAAGTGTTTTTTTTAATCTAAAATTAATACTATATTTTCATCAATTTATCTTTTTTCTTCTTTATTATTTTTTGTACTCAATCATTTATTTAATAAATTTTTAAAAGTTAAAATTTCTATGATACACTATAGTACTGTATTTTATAAGAATTTAAGATTTAGCATTATTATACAACTTTTGAACTAAAATACATTTCCAGTCAAATTTTATATTTAAGAATAGCTTGCCTAAATGATTTATAATTAAAGATTCAGAATCCTTATAGATTCCATATGGGTATTCCACATGAAATCAAAACAGTTTCGTTGACATCTCTCAAATCAAATAATATGTATAATTGTTAGCTATATTGCCAGAAATTGTGCTCAATTTTTTTTAAAATTAACTTTATTAGTTTCTGAGATGTTAGGGTTCAATGTATAAAAATGGAGATAAAGAAACCGATATTTGATTTTAGATAGTCTCTGTAGTCCCTTATTAAAGAAAATTTTGATTTCTAGTGTTTTAACATTTCCGAAAAAGTTAAAAGTGGATATTTGCGACATGTATAAACTTTCTGAAATTTTGTAAATATGTTTATTAATTAATATGAATTTATAGTTTATACTAAAAAAAACAGGTTAGGATGGAAATTAATTTATGGTTTTATATTAGAATAGGAATTAGATCAATTGATAAGTGAAAACAATTTTGTTTGTATGAACATATTGAGTGAAATAATATATATTCAATTTTATTCATTTAAAATAAATCGAAAATCAATGGATGATTTATTAAATTTTTATAATATTTATATAAAAGAAAACACATCTCAGCTCTAAACTAAATTGAAAATCTATTAAGCTAATTTTATAGTCAAAACAATAGATTCTTTATTATAAAATTGTTACTACTACTAATATGCAATTACATTGACCTCCATAAGATAATATAAAATGTAAGAAATATATAATTCAAATAGCTAACCTTTTAAAATATATATAAACATTCAAATATAACAGCTATAAATTCAATAAAAATTAAATTTAACTTTTCCAGACTCATACCAAATAAAAAATTTCTTTTAAAGCGGGTATGGGCTCTTTTCACTATCTTTTTAATACCCATAAGCATTTAAGAATGAAGCTAGTATTATGTGCACATAAGTAACTGCCGCCTGCCCAAAAATTGGGAATGATTCTTGTCATTTTGAATTAACTCTTATATATCTCTTTTTACCCAGTTAGATGGGTGTGAGAAGAATCAAGTATGGCTCTGTTGTTTGAGCAAACAAAAGAGTGAAGCGAATGGCGAAAATATATTAAAATAAAATTATATTATCTAATAAAAAGAATATAAGTTGATGTATCAAGTATCTCAATATTTTTCCCCCTAATTTAGCTTTTACCTGTTCTGGTGGTAGGCTCCTTCAGTATTTTTGCCCCATTTTATATTGTTCATACAATTAATATTATTTTATGATATTGGCTTTTACTTCATTCAAATTTTGGATTGTTTCTCCCGTTTACCCATCATTTTTCAACTCTTAGCCCTTTTCCAATTCCGGCTTTCTCATAGTATGTCTATACTATCTTAGTTTGAGGTAGATTTTTCGAGTAAATATTTTCATACGTTGTGCAAAAATAGGTAGGGAGAATACATTCTTACACTTTAAATTCTAATATCTTCAAAACTATTAAGTTATTTTTAATAAAAAAGTAATGGCGCTCTTCCTCACAACATAAATAACAAGTATGCAAAATATCATTTAATTTAAAAGATATCTACGAAAATGGGATCTTATTTTTCTTGATTTAAAATGAAATGGCCCCATATCCCAATACAACATATTTAAATATATAGTAGTTACCGCGCGGACTTTCTTATTAAGAACTTACCCCTTATTCTTAGTTGATGCGAATTCTAGACGAATTATACAAAATACACTAAATTTTTATACTCGAATTCGTGTTAACCGTGAATGAGGGAATACCCTGCATTCACAGTTAGCACGATTCATTATGTTATTTTTTTGTGTATTTTTATATACTTTACCACAAATTCGCACTGAATATAGGGCTACCTTTATAGTAATGCGATTCACTTGTGATGCGAATCGCTAACGAAATCACAGCTGATTTGTATATCATCGCTCCTTCTAACATGTTTTTCACGCGATTACATCATTTCGCTCAGTATTTGTAAATTATACCTATTATTGACTTGATTATATAAATTACGTTGCAAAAAATTACGCATCGCTTGCGCGAATCGCGCTTATCATCAATGCAGCGTTATGGAACTTCTGCATCCATATCGCTTTGCAAATATCACACAAATAAACGAATCGATATTATATTTACTATTGTTTGCAAAGCGTGACTTGCCATACATAACTTGGCGAACCGTGACTGACCGCCTAAAACTCGTCCACAAAACTACCCACAGGCTGAGCGTTCACAAAGCCGAACTAACGGATTCTGATATTCTGCACCGGATGCTTAGATTCGATAATTATTTCACTGCTTTGGTTGGATATGGTCAAAATGGCAGGCTTAACGCTCAATACAATAACAACATAAACGTATTAGATAATAAAGGGGGACAATCGGGGGGAGATCTCTTACCGCTTAATTTTAGATTGCCCATACTTGGGTGGGATCTGTACGCGCTCAACCAGGGCTTGTCTTATAATCTCGAGCTGATTTTGTTTAGTAAGTAATTATATTTTATTTTTTTGTCAAAGAGATCCTATATTTAATAATATATTTCGCGTGATTTAATTATGTTTTAACTTAAACTCATTTATCAAACATATGTTACATTCGCCTCTTCAACCCACAAGAGGGGGGGGGGATAGAAATGGGAATAATAAGGTGCTAATCGCATTTTTAAAAGAATTTGAATATTTGATATTAAATGAATTTTAGTTTTAAAAAAATGAATAAAAAAAGACGTCAAAACCGTTTCTTGATTTTCAAAATGCGTATAACTTGGTAGAAATAAGAAACTCTAAACAAATAAAAATATCAACCAGTGCTATATTTTTAAAAATAGAAATTAAATTATCTTATACAATTCGTTTTTAAACTTTTTAATGGCGAATAAAGGAGGCCCGCTGTCTCCTTTCAAAACCAACTGGCAGCTCAGGGACGAATACAAAAAAGCGGTTTGTCGCCTGGAAATAGCTGAGAAATTGAGGAAACGTATCATGATTTACGGAATTTTGAACTTAATTCTATCCCCGGCTATTTTTATGTGGCAAATTTTATACTACTTTTTCGCCTACGCCCAGGTAAATTATTTACTGTTGCTATTTATTATGTTTGCCTTTAAATTGTAGATTTTATATTAATTTAAAAAAAATTGTCATTTGGCAGATTATATTTAAAATTTGTGTAAATAAACTATGACAATATCATTTCCATAATATTAAATCATCTAATCTTAAAAATTATTATTTTATTAACATAAATTTTATCTTTCCCTTGTTTTAAAAAAAATTAAATAATAAATAGAGTGTGAGAAATGATCCTGGAACAGCACTGGGTACCAGGGTTTGGTCACCATACGCCCGCGTTTATTTTCGCCATTACAACGAACCAGAGCACGAGTTAAAGGTTAGGCTAGCTAGGGCTTACCCTTACTCGATTCGATTTGCCGCTTCCTTCAACTCCCGTTTAACTATTCTGATAGCTAAATTTGGAGCATTTTTTAGCGGTTCTCTCATTATAGCTGTTCTTGTAATTTCTGCTACGATAGCTTTTACGAGTCAAGCGCAAACACAAATCAAGAATCAAGGCAATGAGGCATCAGCTCTCTTAACACTTCTAACGCTTTTGGGTAAAACCTTTATTTATTCAAGTTTCATAACATAATTTATTTGATTTAAGCAAGTTAAGTTATGGTATTTTTTATTTTATAAATATGTTTTATATACTCCTAATTTTTATAATTTAATCATGGGATTTAAATTACACCCCCCCCCCATCCTTAGGAATAATATACGGCGCTTGTCGCTCTTTGACTGGACCGGACCCTGACGGTGATGAATGCCCACTTCTCAACGTTCCCACCCAAAGATCTTCTTCCCTTCAAAAGGTATTGGCCCATGTTCATTATTTGCCCGCTGATTGGTTCGTTTCTTCCTCTGCATTCAACAAAACCGAAGATTTTCAAAGGGGCGAAATCATCCGGGACGCTTTTTGTTCTCGATTTTTCGAACTCAAATTGGCTCACTTTTTGCTCGAAACACTCAGTCCAGTTTTGAATCCTTGGATACTTTGCAAAGCTCTTGCACCTAAAAGCTTAGAAATCGTGGACTTTTTCCGAAATTATACGATTGAAATTGAAGGCGTGGGTGATGTTTGTTCGCTGGCCAATGGACTACCCCCTTACTCACCTTTGCACAATGGTTTGATTTGATAAAATCCATATTTGACACGTTTACTTTGTTTTAATTATCTTGTTTGTTTGCATGATACGGTTCTATGGGTAAGAGAAAACAGAAGGACTAAGTGTTATCTAGAAATTTATAAGGAATATAAAATAAGAATACCAGTGTTGTTAAACGCTACTTTTAAAAGTAGCGCGCTAGTGCTATCGTTTTCAGATGAGTAGCGCGCTATTAGCTACTTTTTACGCTATTTTGATTTTTTTAAAAAATATTTTTCACTTAACTTTATTTCCACAAATAAAATATTGGTATAAAAACATGACTATAATTTGTTACATATATTTATTATTGCACTTTAATAATAATAACATTTCATTGTCATGAATATTACAAGTATTGTTATTATCTTCACTAAATATTCTATATTTATATCATATTATAAAAAAATTATTATAAATTTAAAACCTGAAAGCCTTCAGGAAATTAGACCCATTATCTGTAATCATCTTACAAACCTTGTTCTTAATTTTGTAAGACATATGGATTTCTGAAATAATATTTGCTATAATGTTATAAGTCTGACAGCCAATTATTCTTTTTAGAGCTAATGCTATAGATTTTCGTTTTATATTTTTTGAATCAATCCAATGTGCGGTCACCTAAATAAGCTCTAAAAATATGAATATCATATTATAAATCAGAAAATAAACATTTTTACCTTCTATTGTGCGTCCAGCAATCTGGTGTTGTACAGATGTAGATCTGATAGATATAATGTTAAAGATCTTGCCATCAATGTCTGCTGGCAAAATATCTTGGTACGTGGAGAAAAAGTGTTTATCATCTTTATAAAAGAACCATTATCCACTAAGGATAATGGTTGAACACTATCTTTTATAAAGTTCATTATGACTTTGTCAGCCATTTTTAAAGATACACCTGGTGTTGATGAATCTAAATTGCTTAATTTTGTTTAAGTGGATGTATCTTCTTCCATTACCCCCAAACTTTTGAGATATTTTTCAATCTCTTTATAATTTGAGGTGTGAACAGTCTAAAATTATAACAGTATACTTAGAATAAAAATTATGTAGGAGATAAGTGCATAAATAATTGAAATAACTATTTTAAAATGTTTTAACTAATATGAATATATAAAAAAAATGATCGGTCTTTGATTTAAATTTATTTTAAAAATTAATGATTAGCCTACACATTGATATTAAATTTGTTTAATATACTACCTTTAAATGTTTTGTCAAATTAAAGCTGCTTGTATGATTTGAGGATAAAATTTTGCGACACATCTTGCATTGAAACCGATATCCAGTAGTAATTTTTTCTTCAAAATTCAAGTATTTTTTGAATTTTGGGAAAGGATAATCTATATTTTTCTCATTTTTTAAAGAAATTTCGCTATCTTCAACAATCTCATACATTTTTAATAACTAGATTTATAATGCTAACTAGATTTATAATGTATATTTTTAAATATAAATTTCAAAATTAATAAAAGGATTATAATTTTAGATTTTAAAAAATATATTTTAATAATTTTTAAATGTATTTATTATGTAAAATTGAAAGTAGCGATAGCGAGCTACTGCTATCACTATTTTACAAAAAAAGTAGCCCACTAAAACTACCGCAACTAATTTTAACAACACTGAAGAATACACAGAGATAGGGCAAAGTTTGTTTTAAAAAAATTGTCAGATTTCGTTTAAAACAAATTATTCTTTTATATGTAATATTTTTTCAAATAGATTTAAAGCTTATGAAACTAGATCAAAGTGCTGACTCGGCCTGCAGTTGCCGATCAGATAATGATAACTTTCAAAGCCAATCAAGTCATGGTAACTTAACTCGGGATAGTTATACGTTATCCAATAGACCTCTTTTCCCTTACTGTCCAGTCGTGGATAAAACTAAACTTTCTCTAATAAATTATCTTGCGGCAGGTCATGATAATCAAGAAATCAACGTTTTAGATCAATTGAGCCCGAAGAAAAAGAAACCTGCAGGGGACACGTTGGGTGTGAACAACCAAAAGCGTGGCAATAATTTCGGCGGATTAAAGGAAAGTAAAAATGAGGGAGTGAACGAAATATTAGATGAAGAAAATAATGTGAACGAAAATTGTTTGATGGATTCGCTTCTGGTTATGTCCACACTTGGGGGAGGGTAATTTATAGTTTTATCATATTTTAAAATTTCAATTCTATCGAGATCTCTTGACCTGCGCCTCAAAAAATTCATTTTTATAAAATTAATCCAGGCGCCAGGCCAATAAAATAAAAATCGAGCTGGATCAAGTTGTAAAATTATATAAAATATGACTTTAATTTTGCTAAGTTTTCTTTGCAGGGTCAAAAAATTTAAAAACGCAGGCCAGGCCTGGAAATGGGTACCTCTAAGTCATGATTTTCTTTTTGCTTGATAAAATGTAATAATCTAGATATTAATCAGCAAATTACTATATTTTTTCTGATTCAAAATAAATAAAACTTTACACCTTCAGTTACGCAATGGTAGCCAACGATTTATTAGTAAATGGCCAAAGTTCATTCCTTAAGAATAATGTCCTCAGCTCTATATGTAATACTTACAAGGAGAGTAGTGATAAAATTAGGAGTGCCAACTTTGTTCGGAATTCTTTGATCCCACAACCACTCCTAACTTCCTTGCAGAATTTTCTCCCAGACTCTGATATGGTTAGGCGATTCGAAAGGAATAAATTTATACCTCATGGAAAAAACACCGTTTTGCCCCTATCCGTGGTTGACATGAGTCTCACCGTTTTGTTTTATTATAATGTAAGTAAAATAGTATATATGCCTTATACATACAATATAATCTGCTAATGTTTCTTAAGGTTATTCAGAATCATAGTTAGATTTTAAATTATGATGGAATCGCCAAATAATTATGAAACTGTTGTTTATTTTTTGATCTATATTAATTAAAAAATTTGCTTATTTTTCCATGGTAATTTTAGAAATACTCTAAAAGCACTTTCACCACGAATTACCATGTTCGAGAACAAAACGAATTCGACCTAGATTTACCGAAAAGCGAATACAGCTCTTTATCTAAACTATTTCAAACTTCGATTCAAAGGCTTATAAAATCATCTATTCTAAAGACAACAATTAATCATCGTCAAGGAAAAAATAATCAAATCTGGAAATCTAATAATTTTGGTCATATTTTATCCGCCAATCATAATGATAAGAATGTAGAAGTGTATTGCGACGAATCAAAAGGCGATAAAGAACACGCCAGAAAATCGAATAAAAGAGATGACGTGGATGAATCCGACGAAAATTATCCTCTTCTGATGAAGAGTTACCATCCCGTGTAACGGATTTTTGGAAAATATTTATTGCGTTATTTTGAAATAGGTTTTTATTATTTAAAACACTATTTTAAAATGTATATTTTAGAATGATAAAATCATGTGAATTAATTACGTACGATTTGACATTTATAAGAATTATATATTTAACCAAATATTTATTTATGTATCATATAGGCATAGTCAGGAACCCCCCTTCCCCCTCACTTTTATTAGAAAATCCTATCAGACTATGCTATATGATAAGCGCGCCATTTATGCTTATACCCTTTTAAACCAAAATTAAACATTATATTATAAAAAAAATTATATTTATAGTAATCTCTATATTATTTATATTAACCCAATAATGAGATGGGCATCCTATTTTTTTGCTCGCAATATTTTATTTTTCTGTAATATGTTTGTATTAAAAATTATATTTGTGAACAAAGATTTAATTTTTTATTTAGTTCCTTTTCTTCAAAAAAATGCAAGACCATGTATTCGCATAAACCTTGTTATTCATAGGTATATTTATCTTGACTCTTATAGCATAATATATTATTATTGTTTTTAAAAAGAATTTATTATTAATATTTTATAGTATACTGTAAAAGATCTTATAATTAAATTGCAAAGCGATGGAACCTACACCCCCCCCCCCTAGTCAAAGTACATGAAACCCATTTAATATTTTCACTATTTTTTTTTACAAGGTACAAACAAATTATCATTACAACATACATATTTTTTTTAAATGATTAATTTTATCTCCTTCCAATGCATACTTTCTCTAGAATAATTCAGGCTTTTAAAAAAAAATATTTGTTTTTATCTTTTTTGTAGAATTTTATTCATATCAATTATTACTGCTTTTAATATCAACAATTTTAAAAGAAATTTTTACCTTGTTCTCTGAATTTGTATGCAAAAAAACATATACTTTCCTTCGATTTAATGTTATTATATCAATATTTATTTTAATTAATGATTTATGAAAATGTTTTTTTATGTATAATATAAACTCTCCATAAAATTATTTTTCAAAATGTAATTACTTATGAAAATTAAATGTTTTTTTAAAATTCCATTTACAACTGTAAGATAATGATTTTAATAATTTAATTAATATAAAATATCGGTATCAAACTGCTATTGCTAGCCTATGATTTATCCTCAACTTATAATATGAGGCGTAATTTAATATCAAATTATTTTGAGCAAAAAGATATATTAATTAATATATCTAACCAGAGATCTTTTATGGAATATCTATCAAACATAAGACTTTAAAATTATTGAGAGAGGCTGCATTATACAATTTCATGTTATTAATTTCTAATATTAAACAAGAAATTTGAAAAACAATGCAATAAAATTTAATAAATCATTTATGTTATTAAAGTGATCTTATTTTGTAAAATGCCCCGAAATGTTACTTCCTTTATGTAAGGAATAACCTTAATTAGTTCCCTGCAACTTAGATTTTTTTTTCAGCAGCTCGTCCGAACGATGATAATTTTTTTTAGGTCTAAACCAGGCTCATGGCCCGAATTTTTAAATGTTATGTATTAAATTTAAATCTGCTTGTTAATTTCATTCTATTTACTAATATGAATTTAAAAAAATGTAAAATAATTATATTAGAAAATTATATTATCGTTCTGCATTTATTTACAGTTATATATATATTCTATTGATCTTTTTATATTTCAGCCATATCCTTAATTATAAATAGATCTAATCCATTAATAGACTTTGAGGCAATATATTTTAAAATTAGAATGTGATTGGAAGATAATAATTGCAAGAATTGCTTATAAGAATAACTGCAAGATAAGGTGCATTCCTTATGTTATTCTTAATATTCTATTTAATATAAATATTTTATTTATTGCATATTATATAATATAAATTTTATTAATACATTGAAATAAGTAGGAAAAAAATCCCCCTTATTATTCTCATCTGGGTAACAAAAGTTTGTCGGCTTCCTTGCAAAAAAAACCAGCAATATTATGCGAGGATAGGATTCGTATAATTCACGTGCGTTCTCCTTAGAACCCTGCGGAATAAATGAATGATATAAAAATTAGAGATATTCAAATGTATCAGATCGGTACCCGAACGAGCTTATTTCTAGAAAATCCGATCGGCATTTAAAAACCATATCGGATTTTTAAATTTATTTTTAGCACACTAATAAAACCAAAACAGAAATATGTTCCCTCAACCCCGAGATACACTTTGATTTATTTAAAGATTACACTTTTATCGAGAAAGAAAATATCCAACTCTTGGGTTCCCAATTACTTTATAGGAAAAAATTATCAATAAAACTTTTTCTGAAATTCAAAACCTGGAAAAGTTCGTCAATCATATTTCATTGCACCAACTTTTTTACTTATTAAAAGTGTTTATATCTACCTAAAATCTCGCAGCTTTCCCAATCATCCTCCTCATTCACCGCCTCAAAATTTTTCAAACAACACAATATTCGCTTAAAAACCTTTATAGAAATAATCCTCAACCTTTCATTATCGGACTTTAATTGGCACCTTGCCCAATTACCTACTAAAATAGGTGGCATCGGGCTTGATCCCTTAGAAATATTATTCATATCTTTATTTATCTCAAATTGCCTACCCTTCAAATCAACGATCTCATCATTCATAAATCCAATGATGATCTTTTAACAGCAGCAATCGAACGATGGAATCAACTCACCCCAGACGGATTTACATTTCCAACTAAAATTTCCAACAAATCTATTATCGAACCCCTAGTAAAGAAACTACAAAATTGCCTTAACCCTTCCGATATTAACGACATACAACTATTACAATTCAACGATAAATATGGCCGGCATTAATAGCTCAAAGCACTTCCAAGCCAAACCTTAGTTAATTTTTTAATTAATGACCAACTGAAATAGGATTTAGACTCGCTTACAAAGCAATAACCTTGCCACCAATGCAACAACATACCCGTTCAACCTAAAGCCCGACACGGCCTAAACTGCACTTGCAGCCAAAGTCGCCATCTCCGGCATAAAGCAATTAATATAATCATCCATAACTCTTTTAATAAGGCTAAAATACTCAACATCCTCTAGCCAACCAACCGTTTATTGCAGGACAACCTCAGACCCGACGGATTAACCTGTACCCCTATTTGGGACGCAACCTCCGTCTCCTCCTTTCTTTCATCAATTAATTCAAACCCTCTTATTATCGGGGAAAATAAAAAAATTAATAAATTCAAAATTAAATAACTTTATATTTCAGCCAATAGTCACATCAACTAGCGGCAATTTTTCCCAGTCTACGTATTTTTAATATTTTAGTGTTTTATAATTTAATAATTATTGTAAACTAAGTTAATATATAATTTAATAAATATAGATATAAAATATTTTTATAAAAGTGTTGCAACTATTTTACATTTTTTTAAAAAACGAATCAGCTCAGAGCTATGTAAAAAGACCTTTTCTTAAGGATATGTCCAAAATCGTTTTTAAAAAATTAGAAAAGTTTTCAAATTTTCAGAAGTTTTAAAATTTTAATGAAATAGTATGATAAATTTTTGGAATTATATTTAGACATGTTTATATTTTTATATAAAAAAAGTTTATTTCTTCTTTTTCGAAAAAGTTTTAAAGATTTGCGAATTGATTTTTTTAAAATATTGTTGACACAGCCTAATGTAAAAAACAAAAAATAAACAATAATTAAATCATTTCTTTAAAAAAAATTTAAAACACTCAAAAATTAAATTTATAAAATTTGCAATAAATTATTGTTAAATTGTTTTTAAAATATTGGCTAATTATTTTTTTTATTTAATTCAGTTATATATTGTTTGTAGTAAGATTGATATTAATATTACACTAAATGAATTCTAATAGAATTTATTTACTTTCTTTTAAAATAAATATTAATTTACCAGAATATAAGCAGGGGATATTTTAATAATAGTAACTCTGTATTCACAGGTCAAGCGATTTGTTGCGAAGTATACAAAATATAATATAAAACCTCTACATTAAGTTTTGTATACTTTGCCTCGAATTCGCGCTAACTGTGAATGCAAGGAAAGATTCTTTGGAATACTTATTTTACAAGGAAGTTACAAAAGGAAATATTCTGATCATATTTAAAATTAAATTAAAAGGTTGAAAATTATAATAATAACAAGTTAGTTTTTTATAGGATCGGCTTTTTAAAAAATATTTTTAATTTTGAATTGGTATGGTAATAAATATATGTGAATTGGAAAGCCCTAATGAATTATGAAATATTATATAACAAATTATTATAATTTTTTAAACTTTTCTTATTTTATTAAAAAGGGGTTTATTTTACAATTCAGATATTGTGGCCTAAACTGACCATTCATTTATTTAAATTGTTTCTCATAAGTTTTATATATATCATTGATTGTTATTGTTATTGTCATTTTGATTTTCCATATAAATAATTTGTATTAAAATTTTATGAAAACTATTTTTTTTAAAAAATCAGTTTTATAAATTTATACATTTTTTTTATGTCTAAAACCAAAATGGCTTTTCAACAGCTGATCAACGATACTTAAATATAAAATATATTTATAAAATTAAATATGAGTTTAGAATAGTATTTTATTTAATATTAGAACCGTCCTATATTTTTAATCATGTAATTAATGCCCCACTCTGTATGACTAATCTCAATAGATAAAATTTTTTATTGGTTTATAGAGTTGACGAATAGCCTTCACGTCAGATCCAATGAGATTTTAGCAAGGAGATAAATGCACGACTTTCGTTTTTACAATGATATCTGGGACAATAGTATCCTTTTTCGTTATGGTTTTAGTCATACATATCATATCAATAACAAATCTAAAAAATATTTTAAATTAATTTTAACAAAAACTAGCGTTTCTAATAAGAAAAATAATATTATATAATGTATAATTGATTTATTTATATCAAAGAATTTAAACATAAAGTGTTATTTTATATAACTTTATACAAGTTGAACTGCATTTAAACAATCATTTATTCTAGCCTAAATTGTTACAATTAAATGTTCAGACATAAAATAAGATATAATAAAGTTATAAAATAAAATGCGATATAGAATATTTATAATAATATTTTAAAAGGTTGGCCCATAGGCATATCCAGAATTGTGATAAAGAAAGGGTGGGGGGGGGGCTATTAGTTGGAGTTTTCTCCTTAAATTTTAACGGAGGTCTCTAGGTATTGTGGGCCTTTGGCTATAAAAGATTTTTATATTAATTTTGAGATTTAATTTTTTTATGAAAATGCTTCTTTTTTTTACAAAAAATTGTGAATCTTAGTCGTTATTTTAAAAATTTATTAACTATTACTATTTCTTCCAATTATTATTTATATTGATATATTGAAAACATATATAGAAAGGATGGGGGGGGGGGGTCTATTGGGGGAACGAGAACAGGAAATAAGGGGAATTCCCTTGCCTGTCATGGCTACTCCCATGAGTTCACCGATTATAAGCCTTTAACTGTCATATATTTGTATGTAATAAAAATTTGGGCATAATTTCTATTTTTAAATAATTATTATTAATTTAAAAAATATTTAACCGGTTTTTAATTTTTTTTATCGTGATATAATATTGTATTTAAGATTTTGGGAAGAATAGGGGTTGTTGTTTAGAGAGCAATTTTTATGAGCTCTAGATATGATATTTATGGAAATAAAAATTCTAAGAGGTGGGCCACTCCTTCGTTACGCTCAGCGTCTACATGACAGGATTTTCACTGGATGCAAACCCCCTTCAATAACATTTGCCTACCCCCTAAAAATTTCGCCGCCTTCGGCGGCGGTGTCTGTCTATTATTATTTTCACCTTTTTAATTTATTGATACGTTTTTCAGAGAATTTATTTAGGATAACTTAAATTAATCTATCTCTAATACCAACTATCGATATTTTGTGAATATACAGAATTTATTTTTTAGATAATAAATTCAATTAAAACCTCCATTATTTAAAATGAATTAATTATTATGCCATTATGAGCTTGCTGAAATATCTAAACCTTTTAAATGTAGCAAAAAGTTTTATTTGGAAAACAATGTGTATGATTGTTTGCAATATATAGATTTGGTCGATGAATTGTATTGTAATAAATCTATAATAAAAGTATTAATTTTTACAGCAATAAATTTTGTCCTATTTCATCTCAAAATTTAATAGATAACCACCCAAAAAATTTATCCTACCCCCATTAAAGCAGCCTATCCCCTACCCCTCTCAAAAATATAGGATGCAAACTGTTCCTACCCCTCCCGCTCATGTAGACACTGGTTACGCTTATTGTTCTGGAATTAAATAAGATACGAATAATTAAGTTACAAAATAATGGGATTTATAATATTAGATATTTTAATAGTTCGGACAGAAAATAAAATTCAAAAAATATTTTTAAAAAAGAAAAGTGTAATTAAATTAGAATAGAACAAGATTTACAAAAAATAGAATAAAATTTACAAAAATTGCATTACGTTTTAAACTAGAGAATCTTATTAAAATTTCACTACACCACATTGATATATCTAAAGCTTCTTATTATAATGAAGTTGTTTTAGTTACATATTTATTGATTGTTAGGTTTTTTACACCATAATAAATGCTTCTTTTTAAAAAAAACTCTATTCCCATTTAACTGAAACCTTCAAATATTCACTACTTGATTTCTATTTTATAGAGTAGTAAGCCTTCTCAATATGAATGGGAATGTTTAAAAATTTATAATTAATTTTTTTGCTCACCAGAGTATTCTTTTACATATCTGAATTGTTTTTACAAGTCTCTTCAGGAGAGAAAAAAATTAAAGGCAACATACCTAGATTTACCCCCTCTTTCCTCATTTTCTTACTCTTAACCATTATGGAAGGCTACCCCCACCCCCTTCTCTTTAAAAAAAAATGGGGGCATAGAGCTTTAGATCACTCCATTGGCATAGGTACTAGTGTTTTCTTGAAGACAAATATTACAAAATTTGGAAATTGCTTTCTATTTTTTTGGAACAATAAAATTTATAAAATTCCCTGGTTTTTTTCATTGGTTGATGGGGGTGGGGGATGCCTTTGATCGTAAGACACTTCATCGTATTTTTCGTCCAACTCGTCCAATTTGTTCAAAATGGAGTTACTAATAGTCAAGTGATCGAAATAATAATATCTAGATTAGCTTGCAATCAAAGTTATGTCAAAGTATTTTACATTTTTTCTAATATCGATTATTTAGAACAAAATGTTCATAGCAAATTCTGAGGCAAAAAGAATAATTGAAATACAAACTTGCAAGGATGCTAGGAGTATTGTTAATCGGAAACGAAACCAATATTATAACAAGGTAATAATTACTTTATGTATATAGCTACATTTTTATAGTCTGACAATATATATTCAATTAGACAATATATCCCATTGAAAATTACTATTCAAAACCCACAGGGAAATCATGAAATACCAAACTATATTAATATAACAGAACAATATAAAACTGAAGTAATATATTTTTTTACAATTTTTATGCTATTTTATTATAGGATATCAGCTCCTCAGATGAATTTAAAATTAAGGTTTCAAATTTTCCACCCTCAGTTACAAATGATGATATCATTAAACTTTTTGAAAAAATAGGTGAAATCAAGAATTATAAATCATATGGGCTAGGACTTATTGAATTTGTGTATAAGGAAAAACAACATGCAATCAAAGCAATAAATGAATATAATAATAAGAAAATTGATGGTTAATATATATTAAACTTATATAATATTTGCAATTGTTTATATATTACTATTATAGGTATACCATTGTTAATTCAGCCAGTGTTTTTTATAAATTCTTCATCAAATAAACCCATAGTAAAAAAAACAAATATTAGGATTCTAAAACAGTAAATTATTTTTTGTATAATATTTTTATTCTTTTTAGCCTGAGTTTGAATCAAATGAAGAAAAACAAAATTAAAATTTTGAAGGTAAATGCAATTAAAAATAAACATTTTAAAACTTATAATAATAAACATCTAAAAAATGGGCTTGATGGGCCTTCATTTATAGTAAAAATTTAATGCGTATTAGATACATGCTTTGATATTACAAGATAATTTGTATTACTTTATTTATACATTATACTATTTATATTTTTTTTAAATAAATTATTTTTTGTACAATGTAAAAGAATTTTATTCAAGAATGAAATCTGAAAAATATATTGAGCCTTATAAATTATAATTTATTTATACAAGATTTGAAAAAAAAAAAATTTTAATTTTATTAAGCAGCATCTGAAGGTCAACTGCCCAGTTTTCTTGGTTTAGTTTTTAGAATTTGTCCCATGGTTGGCTTCGTTCAGCCTTTTCAGTCAAACAGATCTACTTAATTTATTTAGATTTATCAACCCTTTTTATTAATACATTTGTTTACTCTCATAAAATAATATTTGCCTTAATATTATAACTATGGTAATTTTTTTAAATTTAAGTTCATAGATAGGGAATTTACATAGTTTAACTATTCTAAAATATCTATTCATATGTACACAATAATAAGTTTCCTTGACTATCTCTACCAGTTAGATATTATTTGAAAACAACTTGAGTTCTTTGTGAATAAACATTTTCCAAATCAGGTGACTTACTAAAAAGAAATACAGAGGTAGACTGTCCATAGGACCAGATGGGCATTTTGCCCATGAGAGTATGTGAATAAGTTTATTTTTTTTAGGTCAGAATAAGTAATCATAATAGAGGCAAATTAGAAATTTTTTTTTATCATATATATTTAAGTTAAATTGAATTGTAAATGATTCGATTTTTTAAATTAGAATAAAGAATTATTTGACCATACTTTTATTGATGACCTTTCTATCTAATGGTTGATATGATTAATTTATATAGAAATGAAAGGCTTTTCTTTTTTGGAACTAATTTGTTGTCATAAATTTTGGGATAAGTTTTAAGTAATTGGGAATCTTGCTTGTAGAAAATTTTTTAATTAGAGATATAAGTGAGATTCAGCGATTTTTGTTTCAGCAATTTAGAATGGGTACCTAAATCTGATGTCATATAAAGAAAGAACAATAAGAAAAACTTTAAAAATTGGGTTGGATATAAATTAAATTTATTTTAATTTTGTATTTGAATTCAATCAAATGTAAATAGTAAATTTTATTATTCGTACAAAAACGAATCAAATATAAATAATGCACTATAAGATTTTGTTTTTGAATAGGCCCAATATAAGTTAACATGATTTTTCTTGTATCATTGTTATTTATAATTATACTAGTATTTAGAATATAAATTCATTAATGATATTACTCAACGTGATGGGTAATATCATTTAGTTATTGCTATATATGGTTAAACATTGGTTGGAGATATTGCGTGAGGTTAGGTTATTTTAAAATTGATGATATTGGTATATACAAACCTGCTATATTCTAAAAATGAGTTTGCAGGATTTTCAATGATCAAAGTGATTTTAAAAAGGAGGATTAATTGGAGCAAATGAAACACATATTATATAAGTATTGATGAATTTTTTTTTCAAATTACTAATTTATTAATCTTTATTTAATATTATGCATATTTACAAAGTCAAAATATAGAAAAATTAAATACAAATCTCTACACATTTATCGGATGTATTTTAAAAACTTTCTTATCTTTGCAAATAGTGTTGTTAAACTTTTTGCTTATTAAAAATGGTTGGTCCAATTTTTTGCCAAAAATATTATTCAAGCTTCGAGAGTTCATAAATAGATGTTCAAACCTTTCTGCCATCTATGAGCAAAATATCAGGCCTACTTAATATTTTTGGCTAAAATATTGGGTTAGCCGTTCTCTTTGTAATTCATGTCAACTTTACCATTAATTCAGCTTTGAATAAATTCAGAGTAATGATTGATTTTTTTTCGATTAGACTATTTCAATAATCTAAAAATTCTCCCTTAGCCTCATTTGAATGGAGAAGGTAAAATGTTGATTAGAGTTAAAAATTTATCCACTTTATTTATGAAATTGAGTAAATTTAATTGTATATTTTATTAAAATAGATAAAATAAATTATACATGCATTGACAACCTGAAATGAAATATACATAAACTGTTTGATTAACAATCAAATAGGTAAATCAGATTGGCATAATTCTTATTTTAATTGTTTTCTTTGCTACTTGAACTTGAAGAGTTTACTTAATTATCTAAATGTAAACTGAATAAAATATACAATTGTTTATTATTTTATTTAATATTAAATTCAATATGATTAAAATTTTAAGATTTGACTATTTAGCCAAATTTTCTTAGTTTCGTGAGATATAGCATTATTCTTCACAGACAGAAATTCATTTAGCGGGATTTTATCATCTAAAGCGATGGCAGATTTATGTATAATCTTCCTTAGATTAAGGAATACCTTTCGAATAAAAAAGTATAATTTAATAAAATAATTAAGAAGACTTCTTTCTATTAATTTTTTTTCACAACTTTCCAATTGTCATTTTCCATAATTTTATATAATTTTTCTGCTACCAAACTAGATCCAACTAGCTATAGCTCGGTTACGGTTATACATACGGATATCTGGGTTTGAGAATATTAAAGAGTAAATCAAATACTAAATAATTGCCAAGTTTCAAAAGGTAATCTAATTTATTTTCGGTTTTGGCAAAGTGCCAACACTTTCTTATTTTGCTCATAAATCACTAGCCGTTAATTCTGCTGATATGCCGTTTATAGATTCTTAATGTTCAATTAAAGGGCTACATATTGGCATAAGTATCCCTAATTGCACCTCACTTTTTATAAATAATTCCGCCTACTTCACTTTTCTCAGATAAATAAATATTATTCGCTTGTGGTTAATGATACGGATATCCCGTTTTTAGAATATTAAAGTACAAATTGTAAACTAATTAATTGCCAAGTTTCAAAAGGTAATCTAATTTATTTTCGGTTTTGGCAAAGTGCCAACACTTTCTTATTTTGCTCATAACTCACCAGCGGTTGATTCTGCTGGTGTCCGGATAGAAGTGCAATTAAGGCTCTAAATATTGGCATAATTTTTGTTAATTGCACCTCAAGTCGTTCTGCCAACTTCACGTTTTTTAAATAGGTATAGCTCGGTTACGGTTATACATACGGATATCCGGGTTGAGAATATTAAAGAGTAAATCAAATACTACATTATTGTTAAGTTTCAAAAAAGGATCTCTTTTATTTTCGGTTTTGGCAAAGTGCCAACATTTTCTTATTTTGCTCATAACTCACGAACGGTTCATTCTGCTGATGTCCGGATAGAAGTGCAATTAGGTGAAATTAAGACTCTAAATAATGGCATAACTTTTGTTAATTGCACCTCAAGTCGTTCTGCCAACATCAAAATTTCACACTTTCCTTTTGCTCATAACTCACGAACGGTTCATTCTGCTGATGTCCGGATAGAAGTGCAATTAGGTGCAATTAAGGCTCTAAATAATGGCATAAATTTTGTCAATTGCACCTCAAAGTAATAATAATAGTAGACCGATTCAAAATAAATTTGAGCCAACTTAACCCGATATTTTAGCCAAAAATATAACGCAAGTCTTATGCTCATGGATGGCAGAAAGGTTGGACATCTATTAACGAAATCTTGAGGCTATGCCTTATTTTTGGCTAAAATATTGAGTTAGCCGTAGAACACCTCTAGCCAACTAAAGCCGATTTATTGAGGGGACTCTGAAGCCAACTCATGTTGCTCATTGAGCCACCCAATTTAAAGTTGCAAAACCTCGACTTTTTAACAACACAATCTCCAAACTTCATTAAATTTATCAAATCGAAGGCACCTTACAGGGTGATCTTTTGTACTTTATCTTTTTATGAGTGGGATACATGGTATATATTGCATTTTATTAGGTTTTTAATTTTAAGAATTTATAATAGTTTTTTAAATATAATTTCAAAAGTTTATAATAATTTTCATAACAATTTATTATAATAAATACAATCTTATTATCATTATATACAAATTAAAACTTGAACGAAAAAGATAAACTATTAGGGAGAAGGGAAAAAAAATATCTAGAAATTGGAAATCCACCTTCTCAATATGCTTTTCTTCTTTTTCTCACCCTGTAATAATTTTAAAAAATATTGAATTTAGGATTTAAAAAGATAATTTAAAAATAGATTTTTATATAATTTTTTTTCCTAATTAACATCCCTAATTAACAAATACATAAACATTAATAATATCGTATACCCTCTTTTTGAGTCTATAGCGGTTTATAAAAAACTTAGGGTAATTTTCATCATAAGCAGGGGGAGGTCCCAAATTCCAATTATAAGTAGTTAATTCTTGATTTTCATAAACGCATTTTCCAATTCTGAGGTAATGATCAGTGTAGGAAGATACTTCCGTGCATTTTAAACCATCGCCACACACTCCTCTATAATTAAAGAAGCCTCCACACGATTCTCCCAAATCCTGATTTAGTGTAACAAAAAAAATTCTCCTAACATTGTTTATACACTTAAAGTAGAGCTGATGGATCTCTATACTATTTTGTTAATTGAAAGGGTTTTAACACTAGAAGAACCTAAATATTCCGTTATTTGTAGGTTTATATAATATTTTTTTTTTCCAAGAATTTTCAGTCCTGTTTTGTTAAAATTTATATTTTTAAATAAAATTTATATTAAGTTTGGGTATTTATTTAGCATTTTATATTTATGAACAATTATTAATAGTTTAAATCTCATTTTCGGATATTTTATAATGGCCCGACTTGTACCCAACATTAATCTAAACGAGTTTTGGTTATATTCGATCATTTTTTTTGTAATGAAATTGTTTCTAGATGAGATAATTATTTTTATATATGATTAAAATATTTTTATTTGAACTAAGAGGGTCGGGTCTAACAAGAAAGTTGTTCTAGTGATTAAAATATAAAATTATTTAATTATAAAATAGATACTGACTGTGTATAATGAATAAGAGAATACTTTCCTAAAATTTTAATATGCAATAAATTTCTCCCCCCCCCCCACCCCCCACCTTCATGTTAGAAATATTTTAAGAACGATTATCATTTTAGATATCATTCAGAGGCGAGTCAGTCAAACACTGATTTTCATTATATACAATATAATTATTGTTTTCGAGTGCCGTCTGTGGTTTAGTCAGGGATTAAATATATCACATATCAGCTAAATATTCTTTCTTAGGTCTACTTAGGTGGTTGTGTGCTAAGGGTGGTTTATAGAAGGAAACGACGATTCCGTTAATATACGTGATATATAGCGCTTCTGCCCTCTAGCGTTGTAGG